ACAGTGTTGTAATCGTAGGGTTTCTGACCCAAAAAGGAGTTGTGGGAGGGTCGCAAGGTTATGTGTGTGTGTGTGGGGGGGGGGGGGCAGGGGTGGTGGTTGCGGTACTGCTATCCTTACTGCTGTACAGCTGCTGGTGGCGTCTGCCTTCATAGCTGGGCAGCTGGAGAAGGCAGAGCCGCCGCCAGCAGCAGTGCAGAAGTAAGGATGGCATGGTATGGTATTGAGCTGGGCCCTCAGTCAGCAGCCACCGCTCTCCAGCTGCCCAGCTTTGAAGGGAGCAGTGCATAAGTAAGGGTGGCATAGTATTATACTTCTGAACTGTTGCTGGTGCGGCACCGCCTTCTGAGCTGGGTGTCTGGCCAACAGCCGCTGCTCTCTGGCCACCCAGCCCTGAAGGCAGCGCAGTAGTAAAGGTGGTAATACTGTGACCCCTCCCAAAGAGAACATTGTGACCCCTCCTTGCAACTCCCTTTTGGGTCAGGACCCCCAATTTGAGTAACTCTGGTCTTCTCTTTGAAGTCTGTATAGTATAGGGTAAAAGCACACAAAAGACCAGATTTCACAAGGGGGAGACCAGATTTCATGATCTGTGATGCATTTTTCATGGCTGTGAATTTGGTAGGGCCCTAGTTATTAGGGGAAAAAAATAGATCTATTGATATGCTTTGAAATGCTTTCATTTCCATATGCATGACCAAATTGAAAGCATGGTGGATTGATTTAAATTAAAGCAATTTAAATTACCAATTTTAATAATGATTTAAGTCAGCAAGCAGGAAATCTGGATTTAAATAATCAATTTTAATCATGTTTTGCATTTGTACTTTTTAGTTATTGTCCTAAGAAAGATTGATTCTCATTGGTTGATTACCATTAAAACATGTTGCTTTGAAACTATATATAGTTTTTACACTGAATTTGGTGTTGCTTCCCGCTAACCAGGAGGATGCACTATACCTTCCCCATTTGTTTAAGCAATTTATAAAGTGTAACTTATATTTATTCAGATTTTTACTTTTTACTTTATGTTCGAAAATGATGAATGATGCATTTTCTTATTTAACTAGATTAATTTTCTACATTTGATTTGTATCAAATTGCATTTGGATGGAATTAAATGAATATGCACAAAAAACATTTTCAAATATTTTTAGTTGAATAATATTACTTTAAATGTTCTGGATATATAATAAACAAAAAGTAAGTTTATCAAAACATGTTTTGCATTTAAAACTAACTGATTTATTAACTAAAGGAAGCATTATGTATAGTGTATTGAACTTATTGATTTTTTTCTGGTCAAATTTTCCTTCAAGATTTTAGAACTAGTAGGTCTCATCCTCTCACACCTAGTTTTTATTCATAGATTGGAGGAGGAAAACAAGCTTTTCAGCTTTTTCAGCTCCCAATTTCTTAATTTTGAATGAACTAGACATTGAAATGAAGTAGTTGAAGAAACTGCATGCATGAAGAAAATGAATGAAGAGGCTATCTCTTGTCAAAAACTTACTTAGCACATAATAAACTCTGATTCTAGGTGCTTAGCTAGTTACATTCACCAGTTCAGTGGTCTGACTTTCTTTAAAACTTGTCAGCAGACATGTATTGTTTAATATTATTTGCTGTATTTAATGTAAAGTATTTTAATAGATTATAATAACTGTAGACCTTAACATAGGTTGTCAATTACACATTTTAAAAACCGTATTTAATTTAAAAAAATTCAATTTAAATAAAAAAAAGTTTTATTTTTTTAAATTGATTTTTATCCACCCTGACTGACAGCTTGGATGAGTAGATGGTATTAAAAAAGAGGGGCTTATACTTATTAGGCAGTATTGAACTTTTTGTATAAGCCCTCTTTTCTTCAAAAGGGATGGACTTGACTTTAAGTTAAACTAGTATGCTGGTACAGAAAACTAACAAAGTTTTGGGTAACCATTTAAATTAGAATTTGGAGGAAGGCTGACAAGTACTGAGTAGCACTTGGGTTGTATAAAGAAATCTGCTAAAAAATCAGTAATTCAAAGATACCTTTGTATCCAGTAAAGAATGGAACGGAAATTACATCTGAACTGGAGGAGGGTCAGGTTGAGAGCACAGTGGTAAAATGTGGAAAAATAGGAAAATAAAGGATGCAGAAAAGACAGATAAATCCGGAGGTGGGAGAGTAGCATTCTACATAAGATTCCATAGGATCTAATGAGTTGTGGAAAGTCACTAGTCTTTGTCTTTAGAAGTGTTAACATTTTTGTTTGTAACACTGTAAGTATTGAATATCTTTTTCTTTTTGTAAATTTAACAGAATCTACAAGCAGATCCAGAAGAACTGTTTACAAAACTGGAGAAAATTGGCAAGGGCTCTTTTGGTGAGGTTTTTAAAGGAATTGACAATCAAACTCAGAAAGTGGTTGCTATAAAAATTATTGATCTAGAGGAAGCGGAAGATGAAATAGAGGACATACAACAAGAAATCACAGTGCTGAGTCAGTGTGACAGTCCTTATGTAACCAAATATTATGGATCTTATTTAAAGGTAAGATGATGCTTGTTTTTGTGTGTTACAGTGAAAGATTTTGTTCAAACGTCAATTTTTTATGGACAAGGACATCAGTAGAATAGCAGAATAGTTTTCAGTAGAAGGGGAAATATTTTTTTCCCCTTAACCTTAAAAACAGAGTGAACTTCTTATAGTTTGTGAAGAGTTTGCTTCAAGACCCATCTTAAGAATAAAATAGTGTATGTGTCTGTTTTACCAAAGGCAGGAAGAAATGAAATTTGTGTAAGTAACAGACTTGTCATTGGGGACATTGAGGTCAAGCAGTAGTATATTTAGATTGTTCAATTTTAGAATGCATTGAAAATGTAATAAAATTGCATAAAACTATTAGAAACAACTCAGTACCTGCTTTTCATCAAGATTAACAATTTTGTCAGGCCTTGATTTGTAGTAGTCTTTTTTTAAAGACTGAGATTTTTTTTTTAGACTTGATCCTGTTTTTGACCTTGAATGGCTCAAAAAATTAATTTGTTTATCTGTGAATTATTTGCAGAAGGTATTTAGTTAGTAGAGTAGCCTGAAATGAAGGCTGATGCATCTTTTATGGGTTTTGGTTGGTGTTTCATCTGAAATTACAAGCTTTAATGATCACCTCTTGGCTTTCATTTCTTTTCTCTGAAATGATCCAGTTCTTGACAGTAAATCAGTTGAGATGAGTTTTAATAATGACAGATACAAAAAGGTGGTACTTCTCTGCGGAAAGATTCATGTTTGAGGTTTCTCTTATGCTTTAACATAGAAGGTAGCACAACTGTGCTTGGTACTTTTTGGTACTGTTTTTCTCTGACTTTATCCCATCTGTGTTACTCAGTTTTCTTTTTTTCACTGAGAGTGCAGGCAGGAGCTTACAGCTCTCATTTTTCTCTTGAAAAATGGCTGATAAGCTTACCAAAGGACAGAAAATATCCTAAATACAAAGTTTGGTCCACTTTTGCCATTCTAGGAACGTTCTACTTCATTTCTGAGGCATGAATGCCCTTAAAAAACAAACAAACAAAAAAATAAAACAAAAAACCCTTATTAACCAATCAGGATTTCTGGGCTTTTCAGTTGCTTGCATACTGAGAACGGATTTGCTCTGAGGATCCAGAAGATACATGACCATTCCCACTAGGACAGTCCACTGTGTGCTTCCTGTGGCCTGGGCCTTGTTATCTAGGGCAACTTGAGAAAAAGCCCATCACAATATTCACCCAAATGGCAGCATGCAAACTTTTGGACCTAATACCTCACCACTGCCCTGATGCAAACTTAGGTATAGAGTAAGTCTAAAAAGATTGTGAAGGTATATAGCCAGCAAAATAAATTGGGGTCTACTTTTAGTCTTTCTCCACTCCCCTCTTGAAATCTCCTGACTAAGTGTTGGTGGATATGTGAAACGGGGACTCCAGAAAGGGCAAGATAAGAATTTCTCCTCTCAGAGATTCTCACAGTATTCAGAACCCTTCTTCCCTCTTTAAGGAGAAATCAATCTTTTCCTCATTCTTACTCACAAAGGAAATGTTGCAAATTCCCATAAAGTTCATTTCTCCCACAGGGCCAGTGGTGAATGTGCTTCTTATGGAGGACTGCAAGCATTAAACTGGTTTTATTTAACAGCTCTGAATACACATGGTCAAATTGTCTTGACATGAATGTAGTTCCTCCCAATGAGGATGACAATAAGGTGACACTCTCCTTGAGAACGCACAACTTCATGAGACAGTCAGAAAATATAAGTCTGAAATAATGCTGGTAGAAAAAAAGAGCTTGAACTACTTTTTCAGATGAAGGTGTTACTACTTGCATTGTAGTAGACACCAACCTTACCTCAAAGAGTTTACAATCTAAAATGGATGAAAGGGATGCAACTTACAGACAAAATACAGCGGCATGCATGATTGGGGTACATCTTGTGTGTGTGTGTGTGTGTGTGTATATATATAATATATAGGGAGAGTGTGCAATGGGAATACATTTGTGTTAGCACTCATTGGTCAAAGTGGGGCAGAAGAATGGTGAGCGGGGGGGAAGTGGCTGTAGGTATAAGAGAAGGAAGGTGGGTAAATGGAGACAAGGGCAATTAGTACAATGGTCATGAATAATGAAGTTGACCAGCTGAAGGGTTGCTATGGCAGGACAGGCTTGGGATGAAGGGGGTGGGGGTGTCAAAAATCAATGACAATACAACAAATGAGGGGGGGGGAATTAGTCTAGGTTTCAGAGTTAAATGAGTTATGATCATGTCAGGAGGCTGTAAAGATGATATTGGCAGCTGCTGCAATTCCCAGTGTAAATGAAAGAGGAGGCTTCTGGCCTTAGAACCCTGGATGGTTCTGATTGGGGATGCTGGAATTTTCTGACTTGACCCCTTAGCCTTTGGGTGCAGCTGTTTCTGACTGAGATGGGAGATCTGAAGGTCTGGGATTTCCTGAGTGCCTCTCTATCCATCAAGGTGCATTTCACTGCTTTACAGTCCATTTTCTTAGGCACCCTAATAGCATCAATGGCCAGAAATTACTTTTGTTCTTTGGCTCCTTTTGCATACATAGTCTTGTATTAAGTGTTATCCATTCCCCTATGACTTTCATTTATATTTGGACTTCTGTAAGAGATTTGATTTAGTACCATACAATGTTCTTGATTCGTGATTAAAAAATAATTGTAGCACATATTAAAGGGATTAAAAACTGGCTGAGAGATCTCAAAGTAGTTGTAAATGGAAAATCAGTTAACTGGTTTTTTTCTAGTCGGGTCCCATAGGGATCTCCTTTTCGCCCAGTGCTTTTCAGTCCATTAATCTGAAAGAAAATGTAAAATCATTGATGATAAAGTTTGCAGATGACACAAGAATTAGTGGAGTGGTAAATAACACACACATTAGCCTGTGACGGTTGCTGGAACTGCTGTCCTTGCTTTGGCAAGCCTCTCAGTGTTTTTCTATTTTGCATGTTTGTATATAGTTGTAAGTAGTTTTTTAGTCAGTTTTAGTGAAATTTTTGTAATTTATCGAGTTAGCAGCGTTTTTGTCCCTTCAAACCTTGTGCCTCCTGCAACAAGAGTATGCTTCTCAGTGACCTGCACTCAAGCTGCCTGAAGTGCCTGGGAGAAGCTCACTTAGGGGATCGCTGCCAGATTTACAGAGACTTTAAGCCTCGCACGAAGAAGGACCAGGAAGCCAGACTGAAGTTTTTGTTCATGAAGGTGGCACTGAGACCTCCATCTGAGCTAGGCCAGTCTGACTCAGCTCAGAGTGCCTCAGCATTGGTAAGGAGAGCTCCTCCTACCGTACCAGAAGCTGGGCACAGTTCACCATCCTCAGAGACTAGGAAAAGGCACAAGAAACAGTCAGCAGAGAGGAGTCGATTCCTGTCACCAAATATGGCTAGGCTTGGGAATCAGAGTAGAGTTGACCTAAGACAGGCCACTCCTCTTACTCTACCGCAGAAGTCAGCACTATTGACTCCTGCACCTACACAGGCACTGTTGACTCCCATATTGGATGAACTGTCTTCATCTGCAATATAGCATGATACCGATACTATCTTGGTGCCGAACACACCGGAGGCATTTACTGTGGCCAGAGACCATCTAGCGCTGTTGGTACTGGTATCACCAGCAGTACAAGAGTTGGCGGTATTGGTGCCATCGGAACCTGTTGCCTCAGGTCATCATTTGGTACCTTCAAAAGAGAAACTGGCTATAATGACCTTGGTGCAGGCATTTTCACGATAGCACCAGTTTCTGGCGCCGGTGGGAACTGTACCGCTGTGGTCCTTGGTCTCATCTTTGGAGTCAGAGGTCGAGTCTTACTCCTCTTGTTTGAGAAGTTGTCCCTGCTGCTCCCCAAGATACTCCTACCCTGCCAAAGACCTACCATTGAGTGCATGGTCAGGTCATCACTGGGGACCTGTGCTTGTCCAGTGGCCGTTTTAGAACCCCGTGGGGGTTCTCCTATTCGGTGACCTTGGAATGAAGGGCACCAACATGCCATCGGGCTGCAGCCAGTCTGCACTCTGGCATTGACCCTGACACAGAACTGTAGGAGCCGGCTCAGTGGGATCCTGCTGAGGCAGAAAGGGAGAAAGAGTGAAAGAGTGTCTTCAGGTGGTGCAGACTTGAAACAAGTCTGTTTCAGGAGTGGGCATGTTGCCTCCCCTGTATTACTATAAGGCACACCAAGAAGTGTTGAAAAGAGTGGCCTTAAATCTGGGCATACAGATGGAGGTAGTAAGAGTCTCCTATACCTTGGTTGATATTTTATCTGCTGCAGCTCAGCAAATGTAGCCCTGTCTTTCAATGAAGCCATTATGAACCCTGTTAAAGCCTTGTGGCAGCCCCCCACATCCCTCTCCTCGTGTTAGAAAGATCTGAGTGAAAGTACTTTATTCCTGTGTGGGGTTATGAGTTGTACTCTCATTTCCCCCCACCCCCTTCCCAGGATTAATGGTAATATCTGCTGCCAGCAAAAGAGAGAGGCAGGTTCCAGACATGCCAAACCTGTGAAAGAAATGCAGAAATTGGGCTCTTTTTTGGCTTAATTGGTGTGTGAGTTGTTGTTGGCTAGTTTTTGGCTTGTAGCTTGTTGCTTCTTTTTTCGTTTGGCTCCCGGCAAGTGGGGGCAAGCAGGAGCGAGAGTTGGTGTGCACAGCGGACCCACAACAGTCCCAGACTGTATGCCGGGGAGATCTAGTCACATAGAGTGTTGGTGTTCTTGGGGATTAGCTTGTTTTGGCCTTGTTTTGAAATGGGATTAGCTTGATTTTTGGCTTATTATGAAAGTCGGAGTGCTTATTTACCGCATGAAAGTTGGCAACTGTGGCAGGTTCATCAAAAGCAAAGGACTCCAAGAAGTTGGATCTGTTCAGTAGGAAAGTTTATTTTACTGGGGGTGTTACAGGTCAGGATTGCAAACCGGAGGTGCTGCTGGATAGATATGATTTCAACATGTGGGACTCCATGCAGAGAAATACAATAAGGAGCATGTTGTCAGTGGT